TTTCAAGGAGGATGTACTAAAAGGAGCTCTTGCCACTACCAGGCCTGGAATTAGTGCCATCCTGTTGCAAATTCCTTGCTTATCTCACATTCCTGAGGTGGTGGCTTATCTTATGGCAAGTTCTTTCTGTGGCCTTAACAGTGTTCAAGACAGGCAGCTGTGCTCTTTAACTCTTACACAGACACAGGCACAGCTGTGATGCAGCAGGAGCTGGAGCTCAGGCAGAGGCCAATATGCTGCAGCCCCAGCTTAAAGCAGCTCCTGAGGGAAACAGGCTGGCCCTGGTCGTGGTGTCCCTGCAGCACTGCCCAGGAGCCTGTCCCAAGGTCACCAGGGAGCAGCCCCAGCTGTGCTGAGCCCTGAGCCACAGCAGCCAAGCCCCCAGGGGGAGAGATGCTCTCAGGGCCCTGACAGAGCCACACTTGGTGTGATGGGGTAGGAGCAGCACAGAGGACTTCAGCACTGCTTAGCATTAAAACTAGTGAGGTTTTGTTGTTCTGGGGGTTAACTTCTTAGTTATATTGTGATGAGCTTAGTCTATTTGTTTTATTTCCCATAGCAGATCTCAAGAGTTTTTCTCTTAAAACATGTGGAAAAGGCTACCCAGATGTGAAACCTCTGAGCATAATTCTGGCTGGTGGAGAATCAAGCCCAGGCTATTCAGATTCTTATGCTTTACTGACCCTGCGGTGCAGGAAAAATGATGATTTACAAAATCAGCCTAATTCTGTCTTGAGAGAGGTCATATTAACTGCCTTATAATAGAAAACCACAGGGACACTCCACAGCCTGTAGCTAAGGAAGATCAGTTTCACTAAAGTCAGACATAGTCACTGTACTGACAAAAACAAATATAAATAAATGAGAAGACAAGAAGGAGAAAAAGAATGAACATAGGAAAGAAACATTATTTGTGGCCAGGAGTGCACTGACATTTGCAATAATTATGGGGCTTGTATAAGACCACAGAGCCTTTCTCGAGTTGCCACCAGATCTGTAAAACCATTTGTTCAGAACGAAATCAATAAAACATTATTGTTTCTGAAGCTTTTATGATACTGAATCATCCCTAGGGATGCTAGATAATTTCTCCATTTAAAGAGCATTTCATCAAAAAATGATAGTTTTGTTAAAGCATCCTGGCATTACACAATTTGATTAAAATGTATTATTTTATTGTTATAAATAAAACATAAAGAAAAGTATGATTTTATTTTGAGTGGAGGCCACATAATATTGAAATATTGCATGGAGTTATGTTCATAATAACTATACTTGCTTTTTCAGTTTGCAAAACTCTTAAAAACATAGATTAGATATAAAGGAGCAATTTAATTGCTTCAAAGATTAAAATAAGGCAAGAAGTGGCTTGTGAAACACATCAAATAAGCAAAAAATAATTCCATTTCCATTCCATATAATCAGAAATTTCAATATATTTTTATTTCCTACATTTCAGAGCAGAAAACAATTCAAAATCAGGTAGTTCTCAAAAAAACCACAAAATTCAAATTCCATCCATCTCTTACTGCAGTAGGAGTTCAAGGCTGTGTCAGCATTCCCTTTTATCAAGTCATCACATTACAGCATCTTGTTTTTCCCTTGGGAAGTTTGACCTCTGCTAGCTCAGGTTTTTCTAACACAACAACTGTGGTTACCATTTGGAACCATTTGGACACTGTATAGCCTGTTCCACAGACAAGGGACAGAAATGACACATGAATCAATATTTTCTCTAGCTTGGGTCTGGGATTTGGGTTCAAGGACTTAAAAATAAGTGCCAGAAGGGGCACTTATCTGAGCAGTAACTGTATGCCCAGCAGGGATCAGCAAGCATCAGTGGTCAGTGCAGAGTCATGATGATTTCCTTTATTTGCTGTGGCCACTCCAGCACAGAGTCCTGTACAGAGTTTCATTGTCACCTAGGCCACTGCCAGTGTTTACCATAACTGAGTCCTGGTACTGATGTCCAAGATTAAATTCTTGAAGTACAAGCAGGAGACTGAAGTTCTATAGTTTCTGTGTTTCCTTTGTCCTCAGGACATACCTGGATTCTGCAGCATTCCCATATGGCACTGATATTATTAACAGCTGGTAACGTTTAGTCATCAGGACTTCAAATCCTGCTGCTGATTCAGCAGATTTTTGCCCATCTGTGAGTGGCTCAGCACTGCAGCATTCTCCCTCCAGCACAGCCACACGGGCAGATAAGGGCACAGGATGCAATGTGTCTGCTCCCCACACGTTCACTCTAGGTGACAGCACAGCCAGACAGGACTGCAGCAAATCCTCATAAAAACATGCCCAGGGAGTGCCAAACCTCTCCATCTTAAAATCATAAAATCATAGAATTTTAGGGGTTGTGGAATGGCCCTTATAGATCATCCAGACCCAACCCCTGCCCTGGGCAGGGACACCTCCCACCAGACCAAGCTGCTCAAGGCTTCATCCAGCCTGGCTCTGAACACTGCCAGGGTTGGGACAGCCACAGCCTCCCTGAGGAATGTGTTCTGGTGCCTAACCACCCTCACAATAAAAAACTTTTTCCTAATGCCTAACCTAATTTTTCCCTCTTTCAGTTTGTATCCATTGCCCCTTGTCCTATCACTGCAGCTCAAAGAGTCCCTCTCCACCTCCCCTGGACCCCCTTCAGATACTGGAAGGTGCTGAGGTCTCCACGCAGTCTTCTCTTCTCCAGGCTGAACAGCCCCAACTTCCTCAGCCTGTCCTTGTAGGGGAGATGCTCCAGTCCTCTTATCAACTTCGTGTCCTCCTCTGGACTTGCTCCAAGAGTTCCATGTCCTTCTTATATTGAGGGCAAAGGTAAGAAGAATCTTTTAACATGGTCTCAGATTCAAGCCAGTCTGAGCAAAGAAGCAGTAACACACCCTATGTCCCTGCAGTCACACCCCAAATACTCTCTCCTCCCCCAGGACTGTGAGCAGTTAAGTGCTGCCTCTCCCTGTCCAGCAGAGAACAGGTCAGTAACATGCAAAGCTCTCCATCCAGTCACTGGAGATGAGAAACAGGTGAATTTTGCCAGACAATTGTCAATTCACTTTTCAATTTTGTTTCACAGTTTTTCTACACTTATTGATCTTATGATATTATATCATCCATTAATAACAGATGGGCAATGTCCAGATAAAATCTGGTCTGGTGTTTATTTGAGCAAATATTGCAGTTTCACATGGACAATATTTTTTATTCAGGTACAGATAACTGATGGTCAATGACCTCCAGGACTGTTGACATTTTAATCAGATATTATCAAACCTTTATCTCAGAATATCAGTGAGGCATCCTGAATGCCAAAAAAATGAGGCAGTAATATTCAAAGGGTACAGAAGAAGATTTGCTGACTTATTATTTATGTATATTGGCATAAATATGATTTTTTGGCTATTCTTCTCCTACTCTCAAGCTTGGCCAGCCAAAAGGATTTTAAAACACAAGACCCAGACATCAAAGTTCTTAAGATGGGTTTAAAAGTCAAGGTTATTATACAATAATCTAAATATAAATTCTATTTGTCTTGCTACAGAACCTACCTATGAAGTACACGTTTCATAGTTGAACATTTTCTTCTGCATCTCTGAGATTTGGAACTCCCTCTGACCCCATTCTTAACATCAAATTCTTAACCTCACCTTTTTGCCCAGCCTCTCAAGCCCCTCAGCAAGAAGGTCAGTCTTGCAACATGTCCTTTAAGTCATCAATTTTCAATTAGAGTGTTTTCTTCTAGAAAGCAATTTGCAGTCAAAGACACTGAGGACAAGACAAGGAATACTGACATCTTTTTTATTCCCTGTATTAGCTTCTGAGCACTGAGACTTCTGTAACTACATTGTCAACCTGCTCACTTGACAGTTTGCCTCCTCCTAATAGCTTTTGAACTTGAGGTCTGTTTGAACGAAATTTGATAGACAAGGTGATGAAACTTCTACAAGTCTGATAAAAAACTAGTGAGTGGTAAAGAAAAATAAGCTGCAGGCAGAGAGGGGAAGCTATAGCTGCAGCTGCTGCTCTGAAAACCATAACCAAAGCAAATTTGTCTAACATTGCATTTGCATTGGGGGCATCCTGTTTACACCCAGCTGATAGAAATAAGACATGACTGAAGATGTCACATTTACATATTTTTCCATCATACTTAGAGGCATTTCTATCAAACGAAGAGATACCCCAAGAACTAACCTTTTCTGGTTTTTGCATCAAGGTGTAAAATCAGGCCACCATGGTCTGAAGCTCTGAGGCATTACAGACTGAAGTAAAAGTAAAGAGAAGCCAGCCCAGAATTCACCTATAAGCAGCTGGATCTACATGTGTCTTTGTTAGCTGTGCTCTGGCTTAGGAGCAGAAACAACAGCAGCTGCAGAGCAGCACAGGCTGCAGGATGGGTGAGTGCACAAGTGGCTGAGTTGTGAGATTTGATAACCCCAGCCCAGGAGTGCAGGAGGCAGAGAACAGTCTGCTCAAAGCAGTTGTCCTCCCGAGAAATCAGGGATGTCTATAAATAGTTATGGCTGTACATTAGGAAAGGAGTAATTGGTTATTACATATTATCTCCTTTATGTGTTAGCTCTCCTTTTCCTATCCCTCCAGAATAAAGTTCTATCTGTTAAGCATTTTATACACTGTTTTTCAATTGGGGAAGATAAGGCTCTTTTTGATGTGTTCTCCCAGATCTCTGGAGGGGTTTAGGATGGATGTTTATTACCCTATCCTGAAAGTTTGAATGTGGATCACCTCTTACTGTTGCAAGTCAAGCCTTGGTAAAAGTCATAAACAAGGTTTTGATAAGCTCCTCAAGAGAAATTCCATGTTTGGATAAATATTCCTATTCCTTGCAGCAATCTGTTTAGAGAGATGGCTTCATTAGAGCAACAAACAAAAGTTACCAGTAATAAATATAAAAACTAAATATGTTTTTAAAAAGATATCAAACTGGAGAAGTAACAAAAGTACATTATAATGACTTAAGTACAACCAATATATAATTAACTGCTCTCACAGTGCCTGGAGTGCTTGTCCATGCTGTACTTTCCTAAGAGTCCAATCTTTTCCAAAAAAAATCAAGGACAAAACTCTCTAGAGTGGGAATAGAATCTTACTGTACTTCTGCAGTCAATTTTGCAGGAATTATACATTTTCCACTGTTTATTCATAGTATTTGTATTTCATGTGTAAAAGATACATAAGCTACTGTCAGGAAAATGCTCAGTGTCACAATGAACAGCCCAGAGCTAAAGAAGAAAGAAAATGAAGAAATGATTTGCAAACAACAGGCAGCTAAGGGAATTATGTTACAAATTACCCAATCCAATGCTTTCTTCACTAACTGCCCACTTGAAAAAATTAACCAGCAGTGTAAGCATGAATTGGAGTGAGATTTGGAATGCATCAATAGTGTGAATATTATTTTTAACTGATGAGATGCATTTCAAATGTTTGTTTGCCCAACATTTATTTCAATGGGTTTTTTTCCATCTTCGAGAAGAAATTCTGTATTATTACAATGAAGCATTATAAAAACACAACCAAAAGAGATGCTCTGTTCCATCAGAGCAGTGGTACATCCAGTATTCATCTCTCACAGTGGCAAAAGGCAACTGTGGTTAGGAGAAACATATGACCTCTTTCTTTCTCTAAACCATTTCCCTCATACTTTTCCAGTATCATTGTTCCAGGGACTTTAAAGAGTACTTATCTGCTCAGTCCTTCTATTATACATGTAAGGAGCTGCTGCCCTTAGACTTTTCTAAGCAATTTCTGCCCCTGCTGATAGTGTCTGCCTCCAGATCTTTCAGTGGCAAAAAGTTCACTACCCATTGTGGGGGGACTACTTTGATCCATTTTAAGCTGACTCATGCTAGTTTTGAGTGTTCCTGGTTCTAATTTTGTAAGATGCTCCATTTAGCTTATCTACTACCAAAGAACTGTGACGTGTGTCCTAAACTAACTATAAAAGAAATCCACTGCTTCAGCTCTAGGCATTTTAAAATATGATTTCTTAGACACCAGACATACTAAAAGGTGCACTTTTTTTGAAAGATAAGGATTAATGAAAGGAGGTAATGGTTAAGAATAATTATACATTATATTTCTGAATGTTTCTCTAAAAAATGTTTTAAAAATCCCAACAACCTCAAGGTCAAACATGTAGACCCAGTCATAGAATCATAGAAAGGTTTGGGTTTAAAGGGACCTTAGAGATCATCTAGTTTCACCCCCCAAGTCAATGACACAGATTTTTCTGTAAGAAGCTAATCCAACTTTCACATCAAGCAGGATTTGGAAAATTCTTCACCTGAGTCTGACCCTGTCATTTTGGACTCACCTTGAATTTTTGCATTTTGTTATTCAGGGTTTGAATTTTGTATTCCACCTTCAGTCACTCCCTCACAAACAATTACTGCCTTTTAAGAATGTCTTAAACTACCCTGAATAAAAGATTTTGAATACAATGAGACAACATCTCTTTTCTGGTTAGCAGAGGATGTGAAAGGTATGAATATTACTGTGTGCTGCATTATTTTAATAAATACCAGAAAAAATTACCAGCAATTCTCTAAAGAAGTCTATGAAAGCTTCTACAGGCAAAGAGGACACAAAACTGCTCAGACTGAGAAAGCAAAGGCAGCTTGATGTGACTTCATGCCATGTCTGCATTAAATGGGTATTAAGCCCCTTTCTGTCAACAGTCTGAAAAGGTGTAAAGCTGACAGAGGTATGCTCTAAATTTTCTTGAGCTGGAAGAGTAGCAGATACGCACACAGAAGCTACAAACCACCAACTTGCAGGTGCACCTTGAGCTACATCCCTTTTTCAAATCTGAGGGATTCCCTTGTTTCCCTTTCACTAATTCCTTGCTTAGGTAAGGCTGTGTAAAAACAGGGATATGGATGTGGCCATGATTTGACCACAAATATTTCATCATATTTTCAGCTCAGCTGTTTTAATAGTAAACAGAAGACCAAGATTGTGTAGTACCTGCACACATAATCTGGACCAGGCTCAGCAGCACACTGTTAGAAGTAAAGTGCTTTTCATAGCGCAGCACTATTGCACAATGTCTGCTTAAAGAACCATAAACAGGCCCTTTGATGGCTAGTGCAGAGACTATTATAAGGCCTACTTTCCTCCAAATTTGCTCAGTCACTATATAATCATTTACTTGCTGTTTGCACATATTAATCCAGGGTCAAGGCAATGGCTCTCTGACATGACACTCAAATTTATATAAAACCATGCCCTTTTAGCACTCATTTCCAGCTTTGGTGGGCTGCTCTGATTGAAAAGCAGACTGCTGGCTTTATCAGGGCATGGGCAGAAGTGACCTAACATGGCAAACAAAATGCTGCTTGTAGCTTCAGCTTTTTTAATAACACTACTGCAGTACTCTAATGCCCAGGACAAACCAAGCATTACACCTGCGGACTGTGACACCATTGAAAGAGAGGCAGGAGTGGCCCTGGATTTGGTCAACAGGCATCGCAGAGATGGCTATGTTTTTGGTTTATTCCGTGTTGCTGATGCACATCAACTACATATAGTAAGTATCGGTTTAAAGGATGATTTACACAAGACTGCAATTTTAAAATAATGAGCCAGGACATTAAAGGCTCATGTTTATTGCTTTTGACAGAGCAATGCTGATGTAATTCAATGAATCAGCTGTGATTTACACTACCTCAGTACTCATCTGAGTATGACTTATTGCATGTAATCTTGATTTTGAATGATGCTGAATGTCCTCTATTCTCTTGGCCAGCAGGATGTTGGCATAAGAGATGCTCTGAAAAGCTTTATACAACACTGGAAACTAATCTGTCCTATCTGTCGTCAGGTCTCAGATGCTATACTCAAAATTTGCATTTGGAAGGTTTCTTTAATCTGTGAATATCTAACATTAATTTGACCAACATATCCTGCAAGATTGGTATTTTTTAATTATCTTTATTTTGGAGGTAGCTGGATAACTGGAGGGAACGGGAAAAGGTAGAGGAACCCAAAGGAGTTGCCAATCTGCAAAGCAGGGGAAGGGCTGGATAGACAATCTCTATCAGTCATTTCTTATTTCCTTCCTACTTTTTCTGTTTCCTAGAGAGGATGCATAAGCCTTTCTCAATGATTGCCTAAATGCCAAACCAAATCAACAGCAGATAAAGCAACAGAGTAAAAAATCTTTTTAACTAGTAGATAAAAGAGACCAACAGAGGCAGATTTACCAATGCACCTGGTACCTTTTAGCTGCTTGGCTATGAAACTGGTATCCAGGCAGGCATGCACTGTTCAGAAGTGTATTACACATCTCAGTATGGCAACTGAAAAAACAGGCTGGTTTTTGATGGAGCTGCTTAATATTGCCTGTTAGGACAAGTAAAAGCTCAGAAAGTGATCCAAAGCCTAGATTTCTACAGACCTTCAGGTAAATCTGGTAGATTATTTTACTTTTCAAAGACAAGGATGTGACAAGTGATAACACTGGGTTTTGTGCACTAGGCAGGCAGTTAAAGAGCTCATCTAGGACGGAATCTGTTGTCTTCTACATGGAGAGATTTAAATCCTCAAGTCTCCTGCCCTTGAAGAATGCTGCTGCCATGCAGCTATGTGTGTGCCATCCCTGTGAAGTGGAGCCACTGGGCAGAAAGACATGCAAAATTCACTGGATGAATGACAAAACCCACAGTTGTTTCTAAAAAGAAAAATCTCAATGGTTCTACATTTTAAGCAATTATTGATAATATAAACTGCAGAACTACAGCTTGGAATAGGGAGCAGCACTGAGGATTTACACTTCCAGATGAATGCTATAACCACTAGACTATCATGCTTATGTTTTGCTTTGTACCCTAATGAATTTTGCCGATTTGTCAGTCCAGGGCCAAGCTTCAGCTGTCACACAGAATCTACAAGAATAGAAAAGACCCTTCTGTCTACCAGACTGCTAAAGAATTCTCCCTGTAATGTTTCTGTACCTTCTCAGACCTAGAGCCACCAGATGTGGTCTCCTGCATACTCACCACATGTACTATCTTGCAAGAACTTTTGTTGGCTCCACTGTCAAGGTGACATTTTAAAAATAACATATATAAAAAAAGACCAAAACATCATTTTTGTTATCTCCAAGCAATAGTTGCATCACATCTATCACATCAGCCCCCTCAGAAACCTAAACAGAGCAATTCCTGGCAGCCAGAGCTCTACTGGGTTTACATGGGAGTTCTAGAAGTGTAAGATACTCAAGTATCCACATCAAAACAGTTCTGGGTTTGTGTAGTGCAGAGCTGAGGTGCCCAAGATGCTTTTAAAACAACCAGGAAGGCACCATATTAGATAATTTTTAGCCCTCAAGAGCTATCCAGCAGATGAACAGAGGAATTTTCTACTACATATTTGGATTCAGACAGTTAATTTCACCCAAGATCTGCTTTAGGCTTTATTGAATCCAAATGCATTCTGCTGAATAAAATAAGTATTTACCAGGGATGAATTGGCTTTTTCAGCATTTCACAAGTTTGGATGACAAAGTGCATCATGTATTTAGTCATTTCACTTTTAGAGGGCTCCTAGTGAAGTCTTTCTTACCTATCCCACCTTTCCATTCAGTGCAATTCTCTAAACACAGATCAGAAAATAGTCCTTCTCTCTGTCTCTGTTCTCCTCTTTGTCTGAATTTTACTAATATGTTGACTAGCAGCTTGAAATTATTGGGATTTATAAAGTAAAAGAGAAATACTAACTACGCCTAAGCAGCGAATAAACATGTGGCTAGTGGGCAGGACATGTGTCCAGGACAATTCTGTTCTTCTCCTGATTCTGCCAGTGAACATGTCTCTTTGTGCAAATCACCTAACCACTATTATAAAATTAGACACAATGCTAAGATATACACATACTGCAAAACTAGTGTTTCACATGACACTGGTGAACTCTCACTAATGAAAATATTACACTAGACTGCAGCAATTGTCTCTCAAGGTCTTGTCTCTACAGAAACACTCTGAGAAAGGAACCTGAATGGATGAAACTTCATAAAACCTGAGGACATTTATTCACAGTGAAGGGCTTTGCATGATTTTATCTGAGTGATGAAATAAAATACATATGTGTTCATTCTGAATGTACATACAAAGGCTGAATGAAGTTGAAATAATCCATTCCAAATGTGAATTGAGATTCATTCTCCTGCAGAAAAAATACAAAACTGTTTCTGTGGGCCACAGAAAATTCTTAGCACCACATCCCATTACCCTGGCAGCCAAATTCAAATTTTCATTCTCCATCCTATTTGCTCAGGAGACAGAACCTACTAGAAGAGTTTCAGAGCTAAGGCTCCTGACTTTGTAGGGATTATTGCAGCTTTGTTGCATCACACACTGAATAAACTGAGCAGGAAGCAAAGTTCTGAAAGAATATCTGGTCAGGAAGGTAATTTGAAATGGATGTAGCTACATAATTGGCTGCCTAGACAACTGATGTCCTAAGAGACCAAATATGATCTATATGAAAATAAGAAAAAGGAAATGGCAATATTTTAACACTGGTATTTTCCCTACTTGATGAATACAACGTTAACAACAGACTCTTCTCATAGGTCCTTAACAAAAGGATGAGAGACAACAGTTGTAAATTGCAGGAAGGGAAATTATGACTAGATATAGGGCTAAAAAAATTCATGGAGAAAGTGGTTAAGCATTGGAATGGCCCACAGAGAGGTTGTGAACCTCTGTCTTGGTGATATACAGAATGCAGCTGAGACTGAAGTTTTAGCTTTGCCTTCAGCAAGTGGCTGGACAAGATGACCTCCAAAGGTACCTTCCAGCCTGAAACCTTTCTACACTTGTCAGAAACCTTAACAGAGAACTGGAGAAGTTTCATTAAAGATTAAACATATCAACCTCAAAAAAAGTTTCTTCCAGATCAAACTTCTTGTCTACGAACTGGTTTTCACTTGCACTTCTCTTCCAGGGAAATTCATCAGTCCTCTACTTAACTTTGGATGTGCTGGAAACTGAATGCTCTGTCTTATCCAGAAGACACTGGGAGTCCTGTGAATACAGTGACTCCTATCTCATGGCAAGTAATGGTATCCACAGAGAGTCATATACCAATAGTGCTTTAACTTGATCCTCATCTGAACTGCCCAGAAATGTGTGTCACAGAATCTCTAAGTGAAGACTGGGCTTTATTATGGTTCATTCTAAAATAAAGTCCACTTAATTCTAGAGTTGTTAAACATAAGCTAAAGGTTTGGAAAAGGGTTGACTGCTCAAATAAGTGCAGCTTTATTTAACTGGTTGTCTCAAAGGAGCTATAGTCCACATTTCACTGCTGCTAGCAGAACTTATGTTTTAAGGATAATTTGCTGACAACTAAAGGGCACTAGAAATTATTTTTAAAGTATGTTCCTAGTATATGAGCTAGAAATACCAATTGTATATTTTGTCAGTTTTCTGTAATAGCATTTGCGGTATGACAATGTGAAATATTGGTAGTGCCAGTACATGAATGATATACAGCAACACTCACCCTTTATTGTCACAGTCCAATGGAGCAGTCTGGGATAAGAACCCCAAGTTCAAAAATTTATATACATAGGAGAGTTGTGATACTACAACACAGGACAAAGCAGGAAGGCCATGAGGAGAGAAGGCATTTACTCTTTAAGATGGGGAAAAAGAATGGGAAAAAAGGTCCATCCAGTTTTTGATAAAGATTTATGTAACCTGCCAGCCTAACCCTCCCTGCTAGCTAGAATTATCTTACTGTAAATAAGTATAAGGATGACTGAGAAAGCTGGTTCAGTTTTTCATTGTTTACTCAGTTGTGCAAACTGAGAATTAAAGTAAAGGTTCTTGTAGAGGGAGTTCCTATTTTATCTGAAGACAAATTCTGAGTGGTACCAGATCAAACATTCCATTAATGACCACATCTGTTATTCTTAGAGGTACTGCACATTAAAAGGAGGTATAATTTCTATGATCGCCTACATCCAATTAAATCCAGTGAAAATAACATCATAACCATGCATTCTTTTTTCCTCTCAGGACTTTGGGCAATGTAAGATTATCACATACACAAGCCATCTGCTAAGGAAACCTCAGCTCTATGGATTTAATTGTACATTAAGTCCAGGTAAAACAACCACTGTTGTAAGCCAACACACACCTCAAACCAGCCCTAGTACCAAAGCTTGTGCACTACTAGTCTATGGTAACTGTAACAGATTCATTCATCTGCTTGCAATTCAAATGTGAATTTAAAAGGAATGTTAAGAATGAGTAATAGAATTAAGGTTACTCTACTCTTCTAAACCAGACTTTATTGATATCAGATGATATCACCATTCCAGTCCACTAAAACATGATAATGAATATCAGAACAAGTGTAACCCTGGAAAAAAATGTCCATTTGGGTGGTAAGGTTCTAAGGTGGAGCTAAAAGATGTGTAAGAATATTCATTTTCATGGATTTGGGGTTTGTTCATGCTAAAGGACAAACCCATATTGGTGGAGCAAGAGACATTTTTCATTCCCAAGGAAACACTGCATTTCAGTTTTTCATCAGGAGTTAACATTAAAGGCACAGGCACATTCCCAAGAGCATTAATATCCACTGCAATATTAGCAAATTCTCTCTTTTCACAGTTCCACCTGACTTACTAGAGTGCAAAGATTGTCCTGTGAAAATTGAAGCCCTAGAAGTCACTGAGGAACATAAAAATATTGCTGCAAAGGCCCTGAAGAAATTCAACAGGGAAGGTAACCACACAAACCACTTTGCTGTGGCCAAAGTTGAAAAGGTTTTCAAGATGGTAAGTGGCATTTTGTCCTAGAATTACTTATAAATGACAAAATTTTGTAAGCAGCTCCAAAACCTTAGACCAGAACTCAAACCCTTCTAGGACCAGACCTGCTGCTTATCACCTCCCAGCATAAATCAGCCACTTAAAATTGAAGGTCCTACTTCTGGAAAGACTTGTTATCAACTTCAATTTAGGCATGTGAAAGCAAAAGGATTTCTCATTCACTAAAAACTATGGCAGTGAGATGGCATTCAAAATGCAAAGCATTCTTGCAGGCATATTTTAATTTGGAATGCCTGTGTACCTATCTTATCATAACATACCTGAGTTTATTTGCTACTGACCAGAGTTCTTCTAAATGAACAGTCTTGTGTATTATCACTGTCACACATTTTGTCAAGTGAAGACAGGTGATTTTTTACTCTTAACATATTAGGCACATGGGTACAACACAGTGGAAAACACTCACCATCATTTTCACTCTGCTGCAGAGCAAAGCAGCACTCTGAGAGCTCTGAAAGATGAGAGGTGTTTGTTTCTGTGCTGTACCTCTTGAAGAATTCTGGCTCTAGTATGTCTCCTTCTTTGAGTGATGTTAGCCTGAAGACTTATTCTTTGGAAGATTTTAAGTATAACTCTCACATCAGCAAACTTTCTTGTTGGTACATACTGGAGACCTTCACTTAAACTGCACAGGACCATTCTGCCAACACATGTGTCAGCTCAGGGGTCCCATGGCCCCTACCATAATACATGTTGATCTTGGAAACTGCCTAAATTATAGCATGTCAACCCCACTTCCCTTCAGCTTTTTATATTGCTCAGAAACCTGACAGTGTTTCCACACTGCAGCCCCAGGCAGGGTGTATCCCTACTCCCAATTAGCAAGTGGCTGTTTTCAGATTGTCTGGGTTCATGTATTTCTCTCTAAACACTTGGTCTTCACACTTAGCCATCCTCAAGTGACACTTTAGATTGTACCACTGGATTTTAACAGACTGCATAACACTCAGAAACTGTGAAGGAAGATAAAAAAACTAAACCATAAATACGTTCAACCACTTTTAAGCAATTTAGTTCAACAAGTGAAACTCGTGTGCACACACATGGTATGGACACCTTTAACACAAACTTGAAATAAAGTGCTGCTACAGTTGGAAATTAAAATGAAACACCTCTTCATGTATTTTAATAGGATCACAAAGGCCTTCCCCCATGTTCATATGGAGTAATGCCTTCTCTATGAGTAATACCCCTGACAAGAGAGAAAGCAACAAACTCCCAGTAACTGGAAGAATTTCATCCCAAAAAACATCAGCACTGTAATACTTATGCACTCCCATCACTGGAAAGGGGTGGCTGCCAATAGAGCTCTGTTTTCACAGGAGCAGCAGTTCTGTTTAGGGCAAAGACTCTAAGAACACAACTTCCTGAAAACACAAGCTATAAAAGGAATAGGTTTTATAACACACACACACACACCACAGACAAGTAACATGTAAGGGTGTGAGGCAAGTAAGGTATAAATTATCTGATCTGTTTTCCTTACTGAATATGCATATATATATATACACATGAACACTTGAACAGGACAGGTAAAGAAAGCACAAGGTAGACAGGATTTTGACAAGATGAAGTACTGTTGCTTTTAAAATTGCAGAGCTTTAAATGCAACTAATTAGCACTTCTTGTTTGATCTCTTGGTTTCAGACTGCCTCCCATGAAGGTCATATTTTGAGATTCTCTATAAAAGAGACCAACTGTTCCAAATCCATGCAACAAGCAGACCAGGCACTGGAATGTGATTTTCTGGATTACTGCCATGCTGTAAGTAAAGTCTTAGAATGAGAACTGATACAATGGGTGGCACCAGGAAGATTTTGCCGATACGTTTCCAATGTTTCTTATAAGCATGCACCCAAATTCAAAATTAAAAATCCAGCATTTCCAAGTCTAGATCCCAATTGTACAGCTACTCCTTTTTATTCTATAAGGAGACAGTTTGAACTCAAATCTGAATGTACCTGGAGTTTGACATATTACAGGCTTAGAGCTTTTCAGTCTTTCACATTCAAATTGTGGCCAATCCCTAGCAAATCATTCATGCTATGTTCATAAAAACTGCTACACTAGTATGAGTCATAGATCCTGAAAAAAATACATGTCTTATGTCATCCCAGTGAGCTCAGGGTTATTTTTTTCTCCTCTGCTGCAGTGGAATTAAGAGTGGAATAATTCAAGTTAGTCTGCAGATCAAAGCATTCTCCTCACCTCACCTTCCCACTACTGTAATAGTCTGCACCAAAGAAACAGCTAGGCAAGATGTCATCATTTCAGAATAAAACTCGTATCAGAGCCACAACTTCACCGGAATGAAGCACAAGGCAGATGGGCAGAGAGGGTTTGATTTTTGTTCTCAGCATTGCCACAGTTGCTGTATGTGTAAAATGGCATCAACATTTGTAATCATTAATCCGAATGGGCTATTCATGACCCAAACATATATCAAGACAAAGCATCCACTAGAGAGAGCATATACAGAATCCTTTACCTGGGTCCTGTGCTCTTCCCCATAAGCAATTCCTGGACATGATGACTGGACAGCAGGAGAAAGTCACAGCAAATAGAATGCAAAGGGAAGCAATGCTAAAAAATTACAACAAATTACTTTGAAAAAAATACAGAAGAAAGCTCTACCTTGAATCATAGAACCATCAAGGCTGGAAGAGACCTTTAAGATCATCATCTCCAACCGTTGGCTTTGTTTGAAGCAGCCTCCAGATGTATATGGTGCAGTGGTTTGCACAGTCAAGAACTCTCAAAAATGGCATGTACTTTAATCATTATTAGTCACTGGCAAGTACTGGTCAGAAAGCTCAAGATGTAGCTAAGTTACGTGAATATAGTTAGGTACTGAAGGAACTAGCCTCACTTTTAAAATGTTGAACTTTCAGTAGTTTCACAAGAACCCAGATGTGCATTGTGGTTTTTCTTCCTTTGCTTAGCACATGGGATTCTGCAAGGCAAGAATTATCAGTGATGCAGATGAACCTGATGGAACAGACTTAAGTTGTGAAATCTACCATCCCTGGGTATGTATTTCCATATGGACACGTCTCCAGCTATATCCTCACACAGGTTCCAGCAACCTTACTCATTCCAGACTGGAAGATAATTCTAATAGTTGTTTATGCCAATTTATTATTGCCTGGATGTGATGCAGCATGTCAGGACAGACAGACCTTCCACTGCTAGGTCAGTCAGAGGATGAATTAGAATTGAGCTGTCCCTACTACTCCCTCTAAGTGCTTCTTCTCTCAGTCCATTTACTTGACTTAGTTTAAGCAAGTAGAGATTGGCAAACAAGCTCAAAGGAATTTTAGAAAACAAGAGAAGGGGAGATGATCTTTATCGTATTTGATATTCCAGTTTATATTAGAACAGCTACTCCTATGTGGGTTTTATTTTGCTTTGCTCCATCGCAAATGTTTCTTGGTTGGTTATTTTATTTCATTTTGATGTGGTATACTATTTCCAGAAGATTTTCAGCAATTTGGCATTTGATCATCTACTCCTTCTCTTCTGTCTTGAAAAAAATGCAGGGTTTTTTTCCTTAAAGATCACCAGAGCTATAAATTCAAACCTACTTACTCCCACCACGCTCTTTCTCACCACTTTGTTCTGTCCTATCAATGCCTGATTTAATAATTCCTCCCTGGTGTTTTTATAAACAGCAGCATCACTATGGGCAAAGAGGCAATCATTCAGGTCTTGGAAAACCACACAGACATCACCATCATCATCATTTTGGTCACAGACGTCATCATAGACATCATCACAGACATGAATGTCCACCCTCTTCTCAATCCAGACCTGAAGACCCTGAGCATAACCACAATATCAGCAAGGAAGATCAAGACAGCCATGAAGGACCTGCTCCCATTCCTCCCCAGGATGGACCACATCACCACCATCCTCCTCACCATCATGGACCACACTGTCCTCCTCCTCCTCCTCCTCCTCCTGGACCATATCACCACCATCCTTCTCACCATCATGGACCACACTGTCCTCCTCCTCCTCCTCCTGGACCACATCACCCCCATCCTCCTCATCGTCATGGACCACACTGTCCTCCTCCTCCTCCTCCTCATGGACCACATCACCCTCCTCCTCCAGGACACCCTCCTCATTTCCGTCATCACTTTTACAGACATCACAGCAACAAGACAAGCATGTGGGGAAAGCATTTTCCATTCCATGTAACAGGCACTGTCTATCACATTCCAGTTCTAAATCAGCAGGATTCTCTCACACCTCCCACAGCAAACTTTCCTGAGCTATCCCAACGCAATCCTCACTCCTCCAGCACTGGTGAAGGTAATCCCTTCACTGGCTCAAGACTAAAGGAGGTGCCAGAAGTTCCGGGTTTTCCAGATCACTCTACACAATCAAAGTCATGCCCAGGAAACCCCAAACTTGTTTTTCCAAAAATTTTGCCTTTATTTCCACATAGCTCCATGGCAGAAAATTCTCCTAAATGACCTCAGAGAAAGATGTTCCTGGCTTGAGAGTTGCAGCACCAATGACAGTTCTCCAGGGAGTGAAAACAGCACGAGAAGGGGGAGAGCATTGAATTTCTAGGGAGAAAAAGCACTGCAAATAATCAGTAAGACAAGTATTCCAACCTGCCTCTTCATCCTGGCTATCTCAGACTCCTTGTAACTGAAAGGCTTAAAATTCCAAGTCCCTCAGATAACGTGAATGGGTAAAAGTCTCCCCAACAAACAATGTTCCTTCAGTTCTAACAAAAAGGAAAATTCCCTAATGGTAAAAACTACCATCTATAATATTTAGTTTTGTTATAATTCATACCTATAATGTACCTCTCCAAGGAATCTGACTTAGAGGAAATTTGATCACCTTCCATAAAAAGTGAGCCATGGCACTACAGTCATGCTTTATATAGATTCAAAGAAAATAAAAATATGCAACATTTTTTTCTTGACACAGTTGCCTAAGTTTTGTCTTTTTTTGTTACCATGGATATTTAACTGCACAGTAAACACCCATGAGGCAAACTCTAGCATGAATTGTGTTACCACTGCTATCTGGAAAAGGCTTGAGAATAGTTAATGACTTGCAGTCTCCCACTATGTCCTGCAGAGGTTCTTCCATTGCTACAGGTGCTGGTGGTGATATACAGAAATACTGCAGTCAGGGACAGCCCTTTCCAATAGCTCATAATTGCTCTCGGGGGAAGAAAAAAGCAGATGCATGTAATAACATTTTCATGTAAATGTTTTCTTTATCGCTGAACCTTCCTCACTGGAAACTGAGTTAGAAGGAGCAGGAAGCAAGAATAGTGGTGTCTCTTTATGTTCTAGCCCCCATCAAGGTTGAGTCCATTCAGACAGCCCTGGGACCCCAATGACATGGCTCATAACAGCTATCTCCTAATTAAGAACTTGAGATTAAGATGACAAAATTAGTAATTTGGCCCTCAAAATAGTTTTTATATGGCAGAAAGTGAAGTACAGGGTGGGGGCTACACTGAAGAAAAAGAAACAAAATGGGTCTCAGTGTAACTGAGTGAAGGTTGCCTAAATTTTAGAAGTCCACTATCATGTATGAACAACCTTATTTCTGGCATAGTTTATCCACAAAGTCTCTAAATTAACTTTTCTTTGGTGAAAATATGTAACAAGTGTGGTGGGTTGACCCTGGCTGAACTCCTGGTGCTGGTCTATCACTGCCCTCCTCAGCTGGACAGGGGAGAGAAAGTATAATGGAAGGCTGATGGCTCATGTAAGGACAGAGTGATCTCTCACCAAATGCCATCACAAGCAAAACAGACTGGACTTAGAGAAACTGGTTTAATTTATTACCAAGCAAACCGGAGTAAGATAATGAGAAATAAATCTTTGAAACACCTTCCCTTCCTTCTTCGCAGGCTTAACTTTACTCATAATTTTCTCCACCTCCTCTTCCCAGGTGGTACAGGGAGATGAGAATAGGAGTTGCAGTCAGCTCATTACGTGTTGCTTCTGCCACTCCTTTGCCCTCAGGAGGAGGACTCCTTACACTCTTCTATTGCTCCAGCCTGGGATCCCTCCCATTGGAGACAGTCCTTTATGAACTGTTCCATCGTGGTTCCTTCCATGGGGTGCAGTTCTCCAGGAACAGACTACTCCAGCATGGATTCCCTGCAGGGCCACAAGCCTTGCCAGCAAACCTGCTCCAGCATGGGCTTCTCTCTCCATGGGTACACAGGTCCTTCTAGGAGCCTGCTCCAGTGCAGGTTTCCCACAGGGTCACAGCCTCCTTCAGGCATCCACGTGCTCTGGTGTGGAGTCCTTCACAGGCTGCAGGTGGATCCCTGCTCTGCCACTGACCTCCATGGGCTGCAGGGGGACAGCTGCCTCCCTGTGGTCTTCACAAGCTGCAGATAAATCTCTGCTCCAGCACCTGGAACACCTTCTCCTACTCCCTCTTCACCCACCTTGGTGTCTGTGGAGCTGTTTTTCTCACATATTCTCCCTCTTCCCTCTGCTGTTATTCTTTCACAGTTGGGTTTTTTCCCCCCTTCTCCACTATGCTATCCCAAAGGCACTACTGCCACTGCTGATGGGCTCAGTCTTGTCCAGAACTGGATCTATCTTGGAGGCAGATGGCATTGGCTTTGTTGGCCACTGGAGAAGCTTCCAGCAGCTTCTCACAGAACCCATCCCTGTAGTCCCCCACCACTGCCAAAACATTGCCACCCAAACCCAATACTGCAAGACACAGCTGGAACACAGGAGCCAAGGCAATCCCAAGGTGTTCCCAGATCCAAAGCAAAGTTATTTGGTGCCCACCACTGGAGACAAGCAGATGTTCCCAGCCAGCGCTAATCCTGACTCTGCCAGGCAAGGCAACATTACTTAATCCTTTTTTCCTGGATGTCACATATCTGTAATGACAAAAAAGCACGATGAAGAATGACTAATCCATGGTCCAAAGGCAGTCTCCACCTGGCAGCAGAGATGGAAATTTCCAATAGTACCGGGAAGGTTTATCAAGTGTTTTTGAAGAGTTACGTGACATTCCACCATATGCATCTGTCCAAAGGCCCTTTTCAAACAAGTTCTGACTTCTCAGAAGTACTGTGGTCTGAACACTAAACAGATCTATAAAACTTGTAAGGTTATTGTCCAGAACTTCATTCCCACTGTAACCTTGGGTGTTTATTTAAGCCTTGTAAAATTAATGCTCAGTAGCAGTCTAGATGTTAAGAACTCAGAAAGCTAAAAACATTCTTCTTTTTCTTTTGCTGTTATCTTGATGGCAGGTGGATAACCTTAGGGTCATTCTGGTGACCACACAAAGTTTATTTAGATAAACTCAGAAGTTTATTTGCAGTATAAACAGGGTATGATTACAACCAACCAACTCACTCATTCTGTTTGCTTAGCCATTGCTTCTAAAAACCCCTGCCAGGCATTCCTTTTCCATTTGGTTTTTGAAGAGCTTTCTAATTCAGAGGGCCTTTTTCATCCAATTATGAAACCTTTCATTATACTAGCACTCTGCTGTAGTTTTTTCTCTAGCAGAGCCATCCCTCTTCAACTTGAGTTTTCGGACTGTGATGACTCTGATGTCTTTAAAGCTGTCGATGCAGCACTGAAGAAATACAATGGAGACAGAGAAACTGGTAACCAATTTGCTCTCTACATGGTGACCCAAGCCAAGAGAACTGTAAGTAGACTTTGCAACAAAAAATATTTTAGAATTGTTTATGCACTCTGAATCAGCTTATCTCCATCTCGATCATACGGGAGCAAGCATGACAGCACAGTGTCTTCAAAAATGTTTTCAAAAATCAAAGTGAACTGCACAGTAAGATACACATTACCATGACAAGCAGGGATGTATCTTATGTTCTTATCAACAGAACTATGTGTGCTGGTGAATTGCTTACTAATGCAAGGAGTAAAGAACAGAAAATTTCTATCACTAATACAATTTGTCGTACTAGTCCACTCTGTTTTCTCCTTTCTTTGTTGTGAGTTCTATCCCTTTCCATCATTACTAACGTTGGCAAAAACACACTTACTAAAAAGATGAATATAATCTTGACTTGGGAAGAGCTGGTGTCACACATAAAAACAAATGACCTGATAAAGTTTGGAAATACTCTGAATAAATTGTTTGCAAGTATTATTTGATTGATACCAGTCCTGAGTCACAGATCCATCTGAAAGCACTAGTTGGTATTTTAGTCAAAGAGGTTGACAGCTAAAATTACAGAAGAAAAAAAGAATGCAACATGATCCTTTGCCTGGAGTCCTTCTGTATAGCCTTAATCTAACAAAAGAGTATTTACCTCTGAGAGGCATACAAAGATGCTATTACCATAATAATGACAAGCATTACTTTACTTGAAAATAACATTAGCATTTTTTCCTACTGGATTGGATTTTCAGATGTAAAGCACAAGAAATCCAGTGTCAGAGAGAATATTTTGCACTCCAAAATCACAAGGCATTTTTCCCCAGACAGAAACTGACCTCAGAAAAGGGACATGCATTGCTAAATACCTCACGGTAAACTACCCACTTTTCCTGGCACCTGCTCTCTGCTGTTCCTGTTTACACACTGGGGAGATTTTAACGAAGACTAAAATCAGGAAATCCTTTACACAATTAATGTTAAATGCATGAATAATCTCACTGTTTTCACTGAACTACACACACCCTCAGCAACAGCCAAATGCAAACATCTCTGTATCAGAGCTGTAAACCACCTTCCTTGTGCTGCTGTTCCCAAAAGACAGATAGGAGTTTCAGGGTTTTATCTAAAACAATGTGTTATTTTTAAGAATACATATTTATTGTGATTATTATTCATCTTTCCTTCTCTAGATATCCATCGTTCATTTTCTTAAAAGATCTGAGGTGGAAATCAATTATTCCTTTGAATCATTGATCTGATTATGATGCTAAGTAAAAAAACAAGAACAGGAATCTGCAATTGAAATTTCCTCATATTCAGGATTCTTTTTTCTAAAAAGAGTATAGATTTTACTCCTCACTAGTCTCACAATGTTGAATGCATTAATTAAATAGCTGGTTATTACATATTCATGTACATTCATTATTGATAGGATAATAAAACATAAAAGCTGACTAGTGAAAGACTAAACCTGCCCCAGTTAAAGGCATAGCTATTCACAGCAATAATAATGGCATAAACCAATAGCAAACAGCAAACAGAAACAATGTCTTTTCTTATGTATTTTCTTTACTCACTGAGCTGATTTATTACAAATTTAGAGCACTGTAACAGGGAACACAATTTGGCTCTTTTAAGCCCATATCCCAGATAGTATAATCTGATGCAGCTCCATAAATGTCAATTTCTACACGCTGAGGATTAAATACATTATATTTTTAGAGTCCTTTTTATCCTTTTTTACAACTGCAGTCATGACATCAGGTAGGTCTACACTTCTGCGTAGTTGTAGCAATACACAACAGGAATTGAGAGAAGGCAGAATATAATTCTGTGTCTATGCCAGTGTATATCCAGTACATTCCACACACATCAGCTCAGCTTCACTTTCTTCGTACCACTAAGGCAAGAATTATCATTTAATTCTGCCAGCAGAGGCAGAGGATGATGACTGGTTATTTGAGAATTACCAGTGCTAAAATACAGCAACTGCCTGTGTTTGTATTTGAAAAGGCAGAGCATTTTTAGTGGCTGCAAAAGATTAGTAATTACTGACTTTAGATCTCCTCTAAAGGATGAACCACAAGCCTCACAGTGTGTCACTGTCACCTGCAGGCACAGGCTCACTATTTGATGGATGGCAAGGAGAAAATGCCCACTACTGATTTACCAACTTCCATGACACTGACACTGGCCAGGCCAAACTTTGCTTAACACTCTTTATTTCATCTCGTGGGTTAGCTGAGGCTGTCCTTGCCTGCAGCTCAGCCTCGAATGCTCACAGAAAACCACAGGCACTGCCGAGGGCTGAATCCAGCACACGAGTCCTCCTCACCCCTTCCCACACAGCCAGGGCAGCTAAGCTCCCTGGTACCACCGAGCAAAGGCTGTTTGGGCACTGCCAGGCTGCCTGAGGGCTCTGGCTGATGGTTCTGGGCTGGCAGTGGAGCTGTACAGAAGGAAAATGAGAGATCTGGGCAGAGGCCAAGAGCGAGAGCGAGGGAGTCAGACAGGAGCAGTTGTAATTGTGCTAACTATCCAAGCAGCTGCCCAAATTGGCTTTTTTTGGAGAACGTTTGAATGAGAGTATAAAACCTAAGCACTTCTTTCTGGTTCTAAATGCCTTGGTGCCAGTTAAAATTAAGGTAGTTGAGCATATTGTGTCTATTATATCAACATACTGTTATTGTAGGTTAGGGCTAAGTAACATATAAGTTAATATTTGAACTACCAAGATCTAGGAGAACAGCAGCTAATGGGAAACCATACTAAAAAAAATCAAGTAACAGATGAATGGTATCGACTTTTTGAAGCTCTTATCTTTTCACTGTATTTATTATGATGCAAATGATGACATGTATATTGTTTTAATCCAGGCAGGTCCTGACACACAATTCTATGTGAAATATCGAATAATTGAAACCACTTGTGCCACTGAGGAAGACAAACCCTGGCAAGACTGTGATTACAAAGAAGCTGCAGAGGCTGTAAGTACCTATTCTCTTTAAAAGTTCTCTACAGCATAATGACTAGAACTGCAATCACCTGGGGAAAAATACAGTAGAAACATTAACTTTTTTAGCTGTGTTGCATTTGAGAGCTCACAGGACTAAAGTACAGTACAGAACTGTTTACAGATCTAAAGTTATGATCATGAGCTTACCATTACAATCCTGAACACATGCAGAAGTGAACATTTCAGAACTTCAACACGAAGGTTCACAATAAATCAAACGTAATATGGATGCACTGTCAGGGTGTAAGGGATGTATAATGGAAACTTGCACAGCCAAATACTGACATGGAGGCCACTATGGCAGGAAATTTGGCAGAGGCTTTTCAGCAGTGCAGAGCAGGTCTGGCTCATGCTACCAGAGAGCACTGAGTGGAGTTACAACGAGAGCACACAAATGTTCAGGAGCATGTTCCCAGTGGAAAGCACTGTTACTTCACACAGCACACAGGAAGGGATGATGGTGATAATATAATTTGAATCTATGGGAAATGCCATGGTCGTGGCTGCATATCTTGTACTAGCAGAGAGGAAATTGGGTAAAGACAAGAGTTTATACAGTCTATATTCATGAGGATGTGTTCACTTCCATTATTCTGACTGTAAATTCTTTAGCTATTTAATACATGGTACAAAGCAATCTTTCCAGTTTTCTTCTCAGCTGATCCCCTACTTTCGTTATAATCAACAAAACTGGTCCTTTTTCCAGTGAAAAACCCAGCAAGTTAGATATTACTGCAAACATACATATGAACCTCTTCCTCAAACTCAGTTTGCAACTGTCAGCTGTGTTCAATAGCTAGAGTTATATAATAGCACTGTATTTTCCTTCAGCAAGTTTAAGACAATTGTTGCCATATGTCTTTGCAGAAAACAGGAGAATGCACAGCTCGAGTTCACATGAATGATGCTGAAAAAACAAGTAATGTTTCACAAGACTGCAGAATTTCCACAGGTGTGTAATCATTTCAACAAATACATTGGCAAGTAAGAATGCAATCAACATAATACTGAGGCTTTCAGGTCATTTTAAAGGTAGAAGCTTATTATTCTATTCAGACATTTATACATAGTCTTCATAAGCAACAACATGTTAAAGATAAAATTTTGGTTCACTGTTATACAAATATAGACTAAGTCAGTGAAGCACTGGCAGTTTCTGTCTGGGGTAATAAAAACCAGTACATGTGTGTCATAAGTTTCTTCAAGCACTGGATTTATAGCAAGTTAAAATGAATTTGCTTAAGACCAAAAGCAGTAACTTAAGAGACTAGATGCAACTTGTCACACTTCAACTTTCTGTCCTTATTTATTTTAGTATAAAAGTGTTCCAGGAATTATTAGAGAAAACTTTATATGACAAAATTGCACCTTAATTTTCTCCAAACTAAAAATTACTAAATTATTTCTGTTAAAGTTCGCCAAAACAAATATTTACCCCAACTAAGAAAAGAGAGAAAAAATTCATTTACAAAATCAAAATCTAGCAGTGATGTCATTATGTAAGAAACTGTGATATGGTTTAGACCTTAGCAATAAGCAATACTACATTTGTCACCTATGAGACATTCATATATGACTATTATATTCATATAATAATTTCCTTTATTAAAAAGAGATCACATTGTTTAGAGCTTTGCAACTGAGACCTCTATGCCTAGTGTTCTGAAAGACATACCCAAGTTAGCTTTAAAATATCCATCTATTAACTACAGCAATATTTACAAAGATTTCTGAGAAATTTGGCAGTCTATATTTGGTTTTTGCTCCTAGGTATCTTGTTTAAAACTGAAATGGTTTTATCTGCAGCCAGTGTCCTTCTAGGAACTGCAGGACACAAACTGCTGCTGAATAAACGCTGCATTTGTAGAGCAATGGTGACATCTAGCTGCCAGTAAAAGTTGTGTGAATCCCACTGAGACTGCATGCAAAATTTGCATTTGAAACTTTGCTTAGAAAACAAAAAAAAAAATACATAAATTAAATGGATCAGCCCAAGAACCTCATCTCTTCTTACCAAGTTACAGCAACTCTGAAAAAAAGGGACACACATTTGTTCAGCATTGTCCTTATGAAAGTGCTGAGACCACAGTTGGTCAGAAACTGGGTGTGCTATTGCCTTATTATCTCCTCTGTGACCACCCCCCGAAATCATGGTCACATTTTTCTATAACATGTATATATGTGTCATTCCTGAGTCAAAATCAGTGATGCTAGAAATAGGAAGGGTCACACTTTGTTCACATAACCCTGCAGAGCTAAGACTAAATACTACTGCATGGACTGAAATATTCCAAGGGCACAAAGGAGCCAAAGCAAATCTATAGGATTCAAACAGAATGAGTAAAACACCAGACCTTGACGGGTGAGGGATTACCCCAACATGTTAGGTACTGCAGTGTTCAGCATTTTTGGTGGAACAGTTTGATCTAACTGACCCTGGGCTGTTTTCCTGGCTGGAGCAGGCTGGCATAGCTACATTAAACCAGTTCATGCCAGCTGAGGATCAGGCACACAAATTTTGCTTCAATTCCACAGAGGCCACACATTACCCCACTTTCATTCTCAAGCTCACTGAATTGTGAAATTAATTTATGTACTGAACTATAAAATTAATTTATGAAAATCCAATCCATGATTACTAGAAAGGAGAGGTAATAGGATTAGTAGTAGGAAACAGGAGTTTGAGCATCCCTGTCAAGCTTGTCTATCCACAGCCAATCCAGCTGGTTAAGCCTGAAGGTAACACCAAGTGGTAGGTGGCAGCCACAGTGGCTAGCAGTGGCAGTAGAATAGTGTAACCACAGTCCCCTGGGCACTCGGAGGCA